CGCCGGCGCATTTCTGTGCGGCGCGCTCTGCGCTGAGGCGATCTGCGTGGTAGGCACGAACACGGGCGCGTTGAAGACGTCGCAGACGAGGTTGGCGACGGAGGGGAAGTTGGCGGCGGCGCCTATGGCGAGGACGCGCGTCGGCAGCGGCGCGGCGTCGTACGGGTCGAATGCAAGGCCCAGCGCGGCGGACACGGGAGGCGCGGGGCGCATGATCGCGCTCCGCGTTGGGATGGAGGAGATGGCGGCGGAGGCGTTGAGCGCGTTCGTCGAGAGGGTGGAGGAGGAGGGGTGGGCGACGGGGGAGGAGTTGGGTGGGGAGCGCGCGAGGACGCCCGTGGCGAGCATCTTGGCGTATTTGACGCGCAGGGAGAGGACCTGGGATTCGAGGAGGCAGCGCGGGTTGGCACGGAGGTCGCGGAATTCGGTGACCTTGATGCCGGTTTCGAAGCGGTAGATGCCCTTGACGTGCGCAAAGGGGTGCGCGTCGCCTTGGAGGTGCCAGAATGCGAAGAGTTTGTCGTCGAGACTGAAATGAAAATGAGTCTTGATTAGGAAGAAAGCAAAATAGGAAACTAACCCAATGGAGCCACCGGGAGGCACGATCGCGACGAGACGGTCAAACGCGCTCCAGCTCTTGGTGTACATGTCGCGCACGAGCGCACGAGGGACATCAGCATTGCGGTTTGTTAGCACAGCAATATAACGCCGTTTCTCCGACGGATCCTGCGCGGGATGAGGATACAAAGAATACAATCGCGTCGGAATATAATGCTGCGCCGGCGCCATCATCGTGTCCATGGGTCCAAATTGGAGCACCGCATCCGAGGGTGCAGGCGCAAGGGAGAGGTACGCCGCCAGTCCATCGCTGGTGAAAGGCGTGACACCCGTCTCGGGGTCGAAACCGTACCGCTCAACGAGGTAGCGTGCGATGTTACCTGCACGCCGCCCACCACCACCGACGTCAACGTCGCCCAACCAACCGCGCACACGACGTCCTTCTTCACGCGAGCCGCCGACAATGTCCAGGACGGCCTCGTCCCAGCTGCCAGCGGTATGAGACCACATGCCCGATGCGCAAGCTTCTGCCTCGGCCATGGGCATCCATTTTCCGGCGACGAGGGAGGCGAGGAAGGCGGAGGCGAGTTGGACACGGCCGGTGCGGGCCCAGACGTCCTGGGGCCAGGTTTCGCGGACACGGAGGAGCTGGGCGGAGAGGTTTGAGGGGTTGGCGGCGCCGCCAACGCGGGCAGCCATATGGTCAGGGCCGCCGACGAGGGCCTCGATGGTGAGTGCATGGGTGTGCGAGGAGACATCCTGTGCGACGGGGGTGTTTGGGAGGGAGAAATGGGCTGCGGAAAAGTGTGCGACGAGGGGGGTGTGGGGGTCGAGGGACGAGAGGGACGGGACGGTGGTGGACTTCCACCAGACGAGTGCGTGCTGCGCCGAGCCGCCGATCGATTTTATGCGCGTCAAGTCGTAGGTGCGCTCCAATTTCTCAAACAGAGTGTCTGACCACGTGCAACGGAAGCAAATTGTGTGAGAGCGAGAAAAAAGATAGCAATGGAGAGCTTTCCCCACCTAGCGCTTTTATCCACATCTCCACTGGCGTCGTGTATGCGTCCCCGGGCGTCGTGAAGATGCCCCCCTGCGTTCTGGAGCGAAAAAACAGCGAAAAACGGTGAGATCCCATCGATGGGCGAAAAGCGACAAGGCACGCACTGGTACTCGGAGAGCTCGGTGTCAAAGTCGACACACTCCACACCGACAAGGTCGAGGCTCTCATCGACGAGCGAGGCGCGCAGCTGGTCGACGGCGAGCTCGATGCCGAGGAAGAGGGACGAGCCAGCAGGCATTTATTGGGTGTTAGTTGGTAGCGTAGGGGCGTAGAGTAGTGGTATCGTCGGCGCGGGGTATGGAAGGAGCGTAGCGGGCGTGGCGAGGTCGTGCTGCGAGGAAAGATGCAGTTGCGCTGGGCTGATCCACGACAGCCCAAAGAATCCCCCGGGTCACGTGCCGCAAACCAGAAATACGAGAGATTCTCTCTGCCGCTGCCACCGGAGCTCTCGTGCCGCATACCATAATTGCCGTGGGCGAGTAAGCAAGCCTAGATAGCCTGATCATCACGTTCGTCGTCAACGGTGGAGGTACTTGGAATCTCCGACGCCTGGTACCCATCGGCCGTCGATAAAATCCCAGCGCCATATGCTTCCGCGGTGGCAGATTGAATGCAGTCTTCTTCCCAGCGCTCTTCTTTCGCCGGGGCAGTCCGGCGCCCGGCGGTGGCGAGGTCTGACCGCCGCAGTGGGAGTCGCGCTGGAGAGTCTCCTCATCGTTGTCCTCGTCGTGGTGGTGGTGGTAAGAGAACAAGAGTCTCCCGTTTTCAAATTCTCTCCTGGATCCCCCCGCCGCTGCCGTTGTGCACTCTACCTGACAGGTGGATAGGGGTCTCGAGGCTAAAGTTAACGTTAGCCCGTTGCTGCTTTACGGCGGCGGGGAACTAGGCAGCGAGCGACGTCCCCGTCGACGCGGTAACGATCTGGGGGATCCGAGGATGCAGAATGAGTGTATTGGGTTGGAGGTACGAATTTCTTCAAGTTGAACCTATTTTTTTTCGTCGTTGATCAACTATCGTCCTCCATTAAAATCTGCGCAGAAAGAAATCGTGAGTTGACAATCCTGGCAGAAGAAAAAGAAACACGATACTCACTGAACGAGTGTTAACGCAACGGGGAATCTTTGGAGAAGACGAAATATCTTCAAGTTGAACCGAATTCTTTGGCTGTTGATCATCATCTCACGGTCAAACGACGAAAGAAAATCGAGAGGCCAGCTCATCCTCCTCCTCCTCCTCCCGGAAGAGGAGAAATAAGCACGATCGACTCACTCACCGACTCCTGATGCTCAGAGGGTCATTGGAGGACGAGGTGCGAATATCTTCAACTTGGAGGAACCGCTCTTTCAAGTTATCCTCCCTTCCAAGAAGGTCCAACGAAAGAACGTAAGTCGACGACCATGGCAGAAGAGAAAGAAACACCACTGACCGACTCCTAACGGCGCGCTCACAGGGGTTTCTCCTGGAGTGTGGTTGAATTTTGAAGCGGCATCACATGGACCAGTTCGTCGACGAGCATCGAGCCTTCGTGTCCAAGTTTCGAAACATCGTTGACCTTGAATGAGACATACGAGTTTTCTCTTTTCAAAATGCTTCCCGTGGCGGAAAATTTAGTTCGAAAGGTACGGAAGCTCAAAATTGGTCAAGATGAGCTCGAAACGAGTCAAGACTGGTCAAAAAAAAACACTCACGGCTTTGAATTATGGGCAGTTTGAATCTCCTTGATTAGTGCCTAGGTTAACTTGGGTGGTCGGTGGGAAACGCGATTACAGTGGGACTGTGATCACGAGTTGGACCGAATACTTCAAGAAGATCTGCGCGGTCTTTCCATCTTCGAGGTTTCTTTTCCGTCTGACGCCCATACGCCGCGTGAGCCTTGTCCTGGAGTCAACTGCACATTCTCCAGAGAGGTCAAAGTCCACTTCCGTTGCACGAGCAAGTTAAATCTCGACTCGTTCTGGCTGTGGTGGCGGGAGCGTGCACGACGGAGAATATCGCCACAAGACCTCGATCGAAGGATGGGCGGCTTCACGCAGTCGGGAAGCATAGGTAGAAGGGGGCAGTGGGTAGGATATGCGCGTTGGAATGTCGGGAGGATATAAATGTTTCAAGTTGTTCCGACCTCGGAGGATCATAACTGAGGTGAGCGGCCTGCGGAAAGTGATACTAATGGAGGAGCCCGAATGAGTCGCGCGGGCGAGGGAAGGTATGAGTGTCGACGAGTAATGATCGGAATGGAATATCGATGAATGACTTTGGAACTGGTCCGGGAAGGATGGGAATGGAAAATATGAAACGCGGGTGGTGAAGGAGACGAAAGGCGGGACACGGGAGGGTCTATGCGCGTCAGATTTGGGGTGGAACCAGAGCGGAGAAAGAAGGAGAGGTGGAGATGATTCAGATTGACGCGCCGAGGAGGAGAAGGATTTCGTTCCTTGTGATGGAAAAGCTGTGAAGAAGAGCCTTGGGTAGGATGCATACGCGCCAGAATACCCGTTGGCAATGCAAGAGATATGCGGAGGGATGGAGAGTTGGGGATACACCACGCGTCGAGGTAGAAGAAGGGTTTCGTTCTTGAGGGAAGGTGACGGAAAAGCGCAAAAGACGGCTAGAAGTAGGGTATATGCGCGTCAAAACATCTGTGGAGACACTCTTAAGGATGAGCAAGGGCAACACAGTGAGAGAATCGTGAGCTGAATGGAAAGAAGAAGGAAAGAAGGACAAGGAGGAGAAAAACGATGGATGAGTCGATGAATGCGCGCCGATCGTTCTAGGCGACCCTGTATCGGCTACGGAACGTGAAAATGGGATATGCAACGCACTTGTACTCCTCTCCTCAATGGGAAAACGGCAAAGGCAGCGCGAGGTCCGCCCTTTGCCAGTTGGTGACGCTCGTATAAGAAACATGTAGGCTGGCGTGGCCTAAGGGCTCGGACGAAGGGGCAGTTATCTTTCTCTGGTCAAAATACGAGCCAGGAATGACTGGAGAGCGCAAGATAGAGGATCGGCAGTGAGACAATGGGCGCGCGTCAAGAGCTGTCGCGGTCACGTGCATCCGCGATCGATCAAAATCACTTGCCGTCTCGCGGGCTCGCGAGCTCGTTGTTCCCCACAGCGCCATGGACGGAGAGTTTAATTTCACGTGCTCTGGGTCAGGAAACACGGACAGAATGTCTGAAAGGGTGGGGGAGTTTTAATATTTGGCCTTACAGTTTGTTACGGGGTCGGACGGTCGAGTTCCAGTCTCAGTCTGCGGTGAACCTTATTGACCTCAGCGCTGCTCCTGGCCTGTTGCTGAGAGCGTCCGCTTGGCAAGGGAATGTGTGGGCATTCGATAAGAATGAGGCTGTGCTGCCATGTGGTCCAGATGGCGACCGATTGCAACGGCCGCCTGGCGAAATGGCATCGCGTCTGACTACGATTGTGCCTTCGAAATCAGGAGATTGCAGGTTCGACCCCTGCGGTGGTCATCTTTTTCGCTGTGCGCGAAGGTTTTTTTATGTGTTCCTTTCCTATTTTTTGCTGCAGAAACACATTGGCAAGTCTCCGGAATTTTTTCCAGCTCTCTCTTATTTTTGTCCGACACTACTGATTTTTTTGAAACATTTCCACCTCGTCGGCTTACAGCATCCAGGGCATCTACAGATGTTCCGTGTGAAGTAGCTTACTTTTCGAGGCCGAATTGAAGGTCCGCGAACGTTGCCGGAACACATTGATCAATCGTTTGATGAACTCATCAAACAGAGAAAAAAGCATCTGCGAACAAACCTCCGGACTGGCATAACTCTCTATAACCCTAGAAGACATTTGCAACATGCGTTCCCTGTGCTTGACCCTGGTTCTGGGAGATCCTGATCTGGCAGCATGCAGCGCGGAATTGTGAGAAGTTAGAAGCTGGAAACTCCCCATCGATCCGAGTGTAAGAGACACTGCAAGAAAATGAACTAATCACTAGCCAAGGAACATGGGCCCTTGATAATCACCGCACCAGATCCTAGGGACCAAGTCCTGATCTGAGCATCGGGAGCACAACTTCAATTCCGCGGACGGATCACGAATCCCATCAATGATACGGGCGGCTTGTCATTCCGAAACAGGAATATCGTCCCAGGGTTCCAAACCAAAGCAACTTCCAATTGGTGAGAGTACAGATTCCAAGGTAATGGCCCTCTGGGCGGAGCCTGGATACTCTCGTGGACCATTGAATCTTAAAGTATTTCAATTAACACAATTCCAAGATGACCGCCTTTGCACTTGATGCAACTCTGCAAAAAGCAGAGGTCAACCAGAGACAAGTTGTATGGCCGAAGTGACCTTCCAGCCGCGACGAGGAGGGCTCTCCGAACAACAAGGCGGTGAAATCGACTAGTAGCTCCAAAAGAGATCCTGGCGACCATCGGAAGAAAAAAAACAATCATCTCCACCAGCTTGGTGGGAATGCGCCGGTGCGACAACCAGACGGCAAATTTATGAGCGCCGTAAGCGCTAGTACAATGCAGCGCACGGCAGCAAAAGCTGGCTCACCAAAACATTCCCCCGGTTGAGTTTGAAGGAAGGAAGAGATCAGGCGATAGTCCTGCTCAGACGAAAGACACTGTGTATAAAGCTCCTTCAGAGACAACTGACGAATACGACGTTCTAAGGCGAGACCAATGGAGTTGGAAATACGACACCAAGATCCGCAGACGTCGGCATGGGCAGGCACCCGACAGACACATTCCTCGACACAAAGGCTGCGCGGTCTCATAATGCGTCGAAAAAGTGAGCGGTGGGCGCTGAAGGTTCACCTTCACTGGAACGGCCATTTAAGAACGGATTGAAAAGAGCCGTGGTAGGGTCTGGTAGGGTACTTTCGTTGCGACAAAAGTACCGCGACAAAAGTACCTCGCGACGTCGCTTAAATCACCTGGTGAACACGATTTGCACCTTGTGACAGCGATTTGGCACTGGGAAAAAAAACTCTAATGGGAAATTCCCCGCGTAAGACGGTTTACCCCATTTGTAGAAAATTCCCATAAAAGGGGTAACTTGCGGTACTGAAGACCTCGGATACTAAAAGTATCCAGGCATAAGTTATCGTAAATTAATATAAGCAGACTAGGACGGTATCGCTCCAAACTATCGTAAATTAAGGCCGAACTGATTTCCTCCAAAACATGTCAACCCAGAGAAATATCGACCCTTTACAAGGTCAATTCGCCGCCAAACACCGTGCTGCCAGCCCAGTCGCCAGGTCACAGCGCGTCGTTCTTCGCGAGTCAGCGGCATGGCGAGATGCTGGTGTATAGCGTGCAGCACGTCGCCAACAAGGAGAGGTTTGCGATCCCGGCGTCTGACCGTGAACGTCCTCCACTCGAAGGTTGTATCGACAACGATCGTTATTTCGTTCAGCTTCGCGGTGGTCGCGTAATCTGCGAGGTAAATCCAGTCATATGGCCAGGTGCACGACAGAGGTGAGGCGACGTTCCATTGTAGGGCAGTCGCGAGGAAATGGTGTAATGCCCAACCGAGATGGGCGACGAGGATTTGAACAGGCGCGGCGACGGCACAATACGCGACCGATGCGCACGGTGGTGGATAGGCGACATGTAGGAGAGACATCTGGGCTCGATAGAGGACAGTTGAGTGCGGTTGTGCGGTGGATAGGAAGGCGGGAGCCTAGAAATTTACCGACGCGGCGCGTTCAATTTATAGGAAACTTGATGTGCCACTTTCTGTTTCGCCACCCGCCACTTTGATAGTATCACATCAAATTGGCGAACCTCGTGTGCCACACCACCCGAAATGACTCGCTGCGACTCGGACTCGAGCCGAGAGAAAATGATGGCGTCCTGTACAGTCGTAGAGGAGGGGGGAGGGAAAGAACATAGCAGCACTGACGCAGATGGACCACGGAGTTAATGCCAAAGTCGGCATCGGGCTTCGTCGATGTGGCGAAATGTTGTGGGTCCAGACGGTTGTGGGCGTCGGGATCAAATGGTGACGTACAACGTGGTTGAAATGCAATCTAAATGCTGTTGAACAATTTTGACATTGAGCTTCTGAAGGGTCAAAGCTAGACGCCGTCGAATATTCACGGGAGAGAAACTAGGAAAGGAATGTTGTTCATTTGTCCGAGAGCAAGTAGTACAAACTGGACCAGTGTCGAATTTTTGGTTGAACGAAATTATAGAGGCTTCAAAATATGATGAATGGATTGACAAAACTGGGTGTTCAATAATGGATAAAAAGTACAGAAGACGGTCGATACGTAACCGGTGAAATTCTCAAAAAGCGCCTTGAGCACTGGCCACACTTCCTCCCAGGGCGGCGCACGGCGCATCATACACATCAGGGTTGATAAATGATACATCCTCGTCATCTTCGAATGCAAGACGAACCAGCGTGTCTTGCGTGAATGTAGTAAGCCACAGCCGGTCCATTGACGTCCCCAACAAGAAACGTACCTCGACTCGTGTGAGAACCATATTCTGGCCATCCCAACCCATTTAAACCCGCCCTCGGATCCTTCGCAAAGGCTCCCCATGCCCTCCTCATCGTTTTGCTTACCCGTTCTTCCCGGATCCCATTAGCTATCCCACTCACATCTTCCGCCGTCCCGAACACCATCTCTAGATCACTCCCGTGGTACGCCCCACTGCCCGGACAACAATTATACAGCCTCAAATTATTCCAGTCTCCGAAATACCGATATCGCCATATAGGGACTTCCGCTCTCACTCGGAAGGAAGCAGTCTGAGACGTGGCGCAAGTGAAGGCTTCGGAGTTGAAAATGGACCACTGGGAGTCGGTCAAGTTGAGGCCTGCGGTAAACCCTCGGATGCGGTAAAATCCTGCCTCGTTATCTAGACTTCCTAAAAGGTATGGCTGGATCCCAAGCGACACAACATCAGCTAGTAGCGCATGGCACGGAAAATTAAACGAACCAATTTTGCAAACTTTCCAGCGTTAGACAAGGCGGCATAATTTGCGAAAACGGTGATATTATCCACTGTCGGCTGGAATGCTGGCCACAACTTGTGCCCCAGCCGCCAAAATGTCACTGAAATTCTTTCCCCGCATACATTGCATGATCTCTTCATCGCTTTCGTCTCCGTTCCCGTTTGCACAACCTACAGCAACCGTGGCGTTTCTCCAATACCGTGCGACGAGTTCTGCCGTATTAGGTATAAAGGAGAGTGCAGTGCCGGAGTGTGAGATGAGGCCCGCAGCGATAGGATCATCGGCGAATGCGAAGGAGTGGTAGTCAACAGAAACGCCGCCTGCGGATTGTCCGAAGATGGTGATTCGCGCAGGGTCACCTGTAAACTCGGCGATGTTCGTTCGAACCCATTCGAGTGCGAGGCGCTGGTCAAGGAGGCCAACATTTTGTATTTCACCGGGTGCCCCTGGAAAGCCGAAAATGTTGGTGCGATAGCTGAAACGTGCGTCTGTAAGTAGTGCGATTATAGGAGAGCGAGATTGAGTAACTTACTTGATCGTGACTACGACAACATCCTCGCTATCAGCGAGATATTGACCATTGTAGAACGAGTTGTTGGTGCCACCGATGGCGAATCCTGCGCATTGGAGGGGATGCAAGTCAACTCGTTTTTATTACGCTAAATGCCATGTTGAACCCACTTCCACCGTAAAAGAACACCATCACTGCTTTCCCCGGGTCGGTCGACCTCAGTGACGATGTGGCGTGTTTCGACCATATGTTCAACGTCAAACAGTCCTCGCCAATGACGCCTCCTTGACCAAGAAATTTACCAACAATCCTATCAAAATTGGTCGTCTTGTTCGGATATGCGATCGTTGCGTTGGACGCCACATATGGACAAGACCTTCAAGTTCGAACATGTAAGTATCAGTAATTGTGAGAGAACGGATGAACATTACACAGACTATGCCCAGAATAAGCATCATCAACCATGTACCAGGGTGGTGCTTGAAACTACGTACAAACGTTGTCGCATTGATCACTCCTTCATCTTCGAATGCCGCAGGCGGCGCAAACCTCAACTCTCCTGTAGGTGTGCGAGCGAAAGGGATTCCAAGAAATTCCATCACGGCTAGCCGGCTGCTCGCCTGGTGGCCGATGATTTTGCCACTCGAGGTGGGGACTCCATTAGCCTCCACGAGAAAGGCTGCTGCCAGTACGACGACAACTCTGAAGAAGCGCATCTTTCGATTGGCTGTAAATAATGGCAGAGCCCGTCAGATTAATTCGCTAGAAATTTGTAACCGCACACCTGTGGGATGGAAAGAGGAAGAAAAAGCGGCCAGCCTTGTCCAGTCGCTGTCTCATCGCAACTCCAAAGTTCTCTCACACATCGACCTCATGGCGACATCAGGTGTTCGGTCATTTTTGGAAGACAGGTGTGTACGTGGGAATCGAGGTCTGTTCCTGAATGCAGAATGTGCAACTTTGACATTGCTCGGACTGCTGGATGTTCAAAGCTAGACGCCGTCAAATATTTACGCG